AGGAAACATAACTTGTGGCTGCTGCAAAGCTCACTCACTCTCTCTTTTGTATTACCTAATTAGTTCTGGCAATCGTTGGCTTGTGGCAGTTTGAAGTGAGAGACCATACTTACAGGGTCTCAGTGGCTGCCAGGTCATGCATAATTTACTAATAGAAGCACCTCTCCAATTTGGACTCTTTTCAAATTCATCTAGGCATGTTCTTCAGGACTCAATCAGATGGACACATAGAGGACCACCTGTGGGACATTCAGATAGTAGGAAAATTACAGCCCAAGAAGTGGAATTTGACCCTTAGCAATACCCATATCTATTTCTGTCTACTTTATGGTACAAATTTATGCAATTTAAGTTTGCCTCCACCACTTCCATGAAGTGGTAACTGAGTGTGTGTGTAATTTCATGGAATTTCAACCAGCTCTCTACTCAAGCTTTCTAGGTCTTAAATAGGATCTTGACTTGCTATTACAGCTGGCCTCGAACTGTTGTGAAACTCTGTGGACTTTGGTGTCAAAGTCACACTTGCAATTTTTCAGCATAGAGAAGCGTTTCCATTATTATCCTTTTCTTTACATCAGCTTCCAAATAAAAACCATGGCATTTTAGTACCAGGAAGATCTCAGAGACAAGCTAGAGAAACCACACACATGCACACACATGCACGCATGCACACACACACAGAGGTATGCACACACATTCATCTTAAATGTGCAGCAGTTGCAGTAAGGTAATTTTTCCAAAGCCATAGAGCTAGCCAGACAAGGGAAGGATTGAGATTTATCACCAATAAGTTTCAATTCCACTGAAAATCTCCTACCCTTCTTGGTGGTGTCACCATCCCTTTGTCTCCAGTGCTATAATCCTATCTCAAAGTCTTCTTTTCAATCACCAGCCAGTTTTATTTGACTTCTTGAAGGTAAAGTGACTTTCTTCCTTTCCTAATCAGGCTGTAACAACTAGACCAAAGCAGCATCTCGTGTGTATTTGTGCATCTCTTAGCTGATTTTCCCTAGCTGTAGGTTCTGATTCTACCTTAGTAAGAATTTCTTTGTAATAAAGTAGGCTATGTGAACTGAAATCTGTGAAACCATGTTTCAATTTATTAATCAAAGAACATCTTGGAGGAGGGCATACTGACTTCAGAGGTGAGTGTGTATCTTCAGATGCCCATGGTCTTTCTTAACAAAGTTCATTTTTCTTGGCAGTTCTGTCTGTGACTGTCCCTACCATTTAGCCACCTGACCACCTCAGAAAGGAGAGATGTTGGAGCTGGCGCTGTGACATAGCAGGTAAAGCCATTACCTGCAGTGCTGGCATCCTATATGGGTCCCGGCTGCTCCTCTTCCAATACAGCTCTCTGCTATGGGCTGGGAAAGCAGTAGAAGATGGCCTAAATCCTTGGACCCCCACACCCATGTGAGAGACCTGGAAGAATCTCCTGGCTCCTGACTTCTGATTGGCCCAGCTCTGGCCCTTGTGACCATTTGGGGAGTAAACCAATGGATGGAAGATCCTCTTTGTCTCTCTTTCTCTCTCTTTTTCTCTCTGCCTCTCTAACTCTGCCTTCCAAATAAATAAATGAATCTTTAAAAAAAAAAAAAGAAAGAAAGAAAGAAAAAGAAAAGAGAGATGCTGCCTTTCTTCCCTATACCTACACCAGAGATGTTCATGTTTTGATTAAGAGAAAGAGGAAAGACACCCTCCAACTTATGAAGGCATTAAAGCAGCATAAGGGTTGTACTGAAAACAAAAATATTTTACATAAAGTGAAATCTTTAAAATACCTGTAAGCCCCTTTTCTGTCTCTGTTATTCCCATAACATATGAGTGTCAGCCTCACTCTGTCTCCAGTCTCAGTGCCTTCCCAATACCTATCCTCAATTAAGTCTTCGAGTTTAATTTTCTTCTCTTAAGTTAAAACTTTCATATCTCTCTCTCTTTCTTTCTTATTTTAGAAATATCTATACTTTCCAGTCTCTAGGCTGTCCTCAAATATCTACAACAAAGTTGCAAAAACAGAAAAGAGGCCGGCGCCGCGGCTCACTAGGCTAATCCTCCGCCTAGCAGCGCTGGCACACCAGGTTCTAGTCCCGGTCGGGGCGCCAGATTCTGTCCCGGTTGCCCCTCTTCCAGGCCAGCCCTCTGCTGTGGCCAGAGAGTGCAGTGGAGGATGGCCCAGGTGCTTGGGCCCTGCACCCCATGGGAGACCAGGAAAAGCACCTGGCTCCTGGCTCCTGCCATCGGGCCAGCGCACCGCAGCGCGCCAGCCGCGGTGGCCATTGGAGGGTGAACCAACGGCAAAGGAAGACCTTTCTCTCTGTCTCTCTCTCTCACTGTCCACTCTGCCTGTCAAAAAAAAAAAAAAAAAAAAAAAAAAAAAACAGAAAAGAAATTATCAACCCAGTGTCTTGAAGGACCAAATGCAAATTTTATATATACACATATACTTATTTGTATATGCACGCATATATATTAACTTATTTATAATCTTTTCAACAACTATGTGGGAGTGCTATTATTATGCCCATGTTACTGATAAGGAAAGTGAGATCCAGGAAGAATAGATAATTTATCCAGAGTTATACAAGTATATCTAATAAGTGGTTGAATTAGGGTTTAAAGCTCTAAACCAATAGGCTATATTGCCTCCTCTCTATGCTATAATTTTCCAAAAAAATCCATCATCTTTTACTCAAAGACTATCACACTGGGAAAATGATTTTTCTTTGTAGGCAAAATTACTGCCAGGAAGTATGAAATGACACTGAGCTACCCTGTACTTCCTAGCTTCATATTGATTTGAAATAAATACATTCATACCTTTAGGAACATATATCCCAATTTATATGGTCTGCATAATTTGTTGAGGTTTTTAACAAAATGGTTATTTGGAAATGAGATAAAGGGAACTAATTACAAGTAGATTTGCAAGCTAAGTGACAAAAACACTGAATGATAATAATTTGTATTTCCAGTGGTAATCAGCAAAATGCTATAGACTTATTAATAATGCTTTAAGTTTATTTAAAGCATGAGTGATGAGTCATTTAAGTTTTCTAGTGTTTGACGTGAGGAAGGCAAATCTCATTGTTCTTATTCTGTATGTCAGAAAACTGAGGCTCGAGAGGTTTCTCACCTGTACAAGAAAGATGCTCTTTATACTTTCTTGCCACCTACCTACAGGTCCTATTCATCTTCTTGATAATGCCCTTCTGCCATGTCTAGGGCCTCTGTTGTCTAAAGAACAAAGAATAACTTGTTCAAAATCTTGAAGACGATCTCTTTGCTCTTTCTTTTGTTTATCCCTTACTGTGAAGGCCATTTTATGAATTTATCATACTAAGAACCAACTAGATGAAATAATGTTATTGAGGTAAATAAGTATCTGTGTTTTTATTGTGGAAGACATAAAGATATTAGAATCAGCAGGAAACTATTGTATTTCGTACTTTTTCCAGCATAAAATATAGTGATGATTTGCCCTAAGGTGCTGAAAATTATAGGAGGAACAGGAGCCCACGCCCACAGCTCTGACTCTGCCAATGTCCTGTCTCTATTGTCTTTCTCCTGAAAGAGCCTTGAGCTTATCCTTCCTTCCCTCTAGGTGAAGATTCCTGGTTTCAGAGAAAACACCACACTCATCTTTCTTTCCATCATTTATGAAAATCCTAAATAAAAATAGTCAAAAGTGGAGCCCTTCTGCAGGCCACTGGAGATATATTTTAAATATGAGGAACAGCTATAATAGTTTTCAGTAATTCAGTTCATCATTTCCAGTGCTCATTCTATTAAGAACATTGTATTTCACTCTTTTAAAGTGGTCTTACCAGAAATATCATCCTTGTTGCACTTCATCATCTCGAATATCAGGGGGAAATACCTTGTACTTTTAGTGAAATTAAGATTAGTGACATCATGGGGCTGGCATTGTGGAACAGTAGGTAAGGCCACTACCTGTGACACTGGCATCCCAGATGAGCACCAGTTCAAGTCCTGGCTCCTCCACTTCCAATCCAGCTCCCTGCTAATATGCCTGGGAAAGCAGTGGAGGATATCCCAAGTCCTTGGGGCCCTGTACCCACATGGGAGATCTGGAAGAAAATCCTGGCACCTGGCTTCAGTCTAGCCCAATCTGACCATCATGGCCATTTGGGGAGTGAACCAGCAGATGGAAGATTTCTCTCTTTCTGTGTCTCCTTCTTTCTCTGTAACTCTGCCTTCCAAATAAATAAATCTTTTTTAAATAATTCATTTATTTAAAAAAAGATAAGTTACATCTGTAGCATTCAACTTTCTAACCTACCTAACAACCCTGAAAAGAACAAAATAGTTTTGCATAGTGTAGACTATGCTTAATTAATGTGATTAATCATCATTTGGTTCTCATTATATCACATTCTTTTTTGCATATTTGCAATATCAAGATACATTTTTAGGAATCAATATCTAGTTGCCTAATGGAAGTACACAGTCTTCCATTTCTTCTTTTCTGAAAGGTTAAATAATATTTGTCCATTCAAATGTCCTGTTCTCCCTCTCAGTCGTAAGGGATCACCCTATTAAGACCACATCTGGAGGTCGGCGCCATGGCTCACTTGGTTAATCCTCTGCCTGCAGCACCGGCATCCCATATAGGTGCCAGGTACTAGTCCCGGTTGCTCCTCTTCCAGTCCAGCTCTCTGCTGTGCCCCGGGAAGGCAGTGGAGGATGGCCCAAGTGCTTGGGCCCTGCACCAGCATAGGAGACCAGAAGGAAGCACCTGGCTCCTGGCTTCAGATTGGCGCAGTGCGCCGGCAATACAATACAATACAAATACAATACAAAATACAATACAAATACAAAACACAAACTGACCACTGGGTGTGCTGAGGAGGACAGTCTGATGTTGCTACTGGATGCTTAAGGGTAGGTAGTGGCTCAGGTCTGTCTTTCTTGCCTTCGCCCCATCCCTGACCTTTCCTGCCTTGCCCTGAGCAGAGTGTGTCCTGTCTCTCCAACAGTTGTGGACATGGATGGAAGACCTGCAGAAGGAGATGCTGGAGGATGTTTGTGCAGACTCTGTGGATGCGGTCCAGGAACTGATCAAGCAGTTCCAGCAGCAGCAAACCGCCACCCTGGATGCCACACTCAATGTCATCAAGGAAGGCGAAGACCTTATCCAGCAGCTCAGGTCAGCGCCTCCCTCCCTGGGGGAGCCCAGCGAGGCCAGGTCAGCATGGGCAGTGCTTCCCAGTGGGAAATGCCTCGGGCTAGATGAAGATAAGTCATGTCCCCCCAGTCTTGACTCAGCCACAGCCCACTTTGTTGTGTTATGTGAACTTCAGTCTCTTCGTCTATAAGAAATAAAAATGCCTGCACCATACCCAATTTGAGTTTAGAATAAAATAATAAGTGGAAAAGCTCTGATGTTTCAAAGCATCCTTTATCATTCAAGATGTTATCTGACAATCAATAAGTAGCATAAATATAAGAAAAATGAACAAAATTCAATAGCAAAAATTTTTCAATAAGAATATGCATATTTGGCCATGTGAAAAAATTCATATTATGGAATATAGTGTTACTTGGAATGGGATCCTGGACTGAACTCTGAGTTCCAGTGCCCTACTGCTCCCATTTGTTGACATTTGGCTTTGGTCCAGAGAGGATGTGGAGAATATGTGATATCATCCTGCCCAGTTGTCCGGGACTCACTGAGGACTTTTGCACTACTCCTGCTGCCCTCTGTGTCCATGTAAACGAATGTAACTATAAAGAAAAATTCCACCTAAAACCTTTCATTCATTTAGAATTGCCTACACTGTTGCCTCCTTTCTATTGGCATCAATCTCTAGCTTCTAGCACTGGCACTAGCTCCTCAGATAAAGTGTCATAAAGCCTTGGGCAAGCCCTCAGCAACCAGCAGTGCCCAGGTACTGTGTAAATAGGATTTGATGCTGCTAATGATATCTTCCCGCAGGAACTTGTTCCTATCCTAAAATCACTGAGTGCTGGGACCTCTGCCAACTTGACAGAAATAATCTCATCAGCAAGTCCCAAACTAACTTGGGGCCTAGGGGAATTATTTCAGTTGGAGAGGACTTCCCCCACGTACACCAGTTGTCCAATTAAATAAACAATGAGAAATTACCTTGAGAAGGCTCTGGCATCCTATTCTGTTGGAAATTAATAATTTCTATTCTAAACATACTCATGAGGTGTTCTGAGTCCTCCTGTTACATACTAACAAGACAGTCTCTTTCCCATCTTCCCTCAATTCATCTTCATGATATGTAATGCATGACAGTTTTGTCTAGTTTCCCAGGAAACTCCACTGTCATTTGCTTCTGTAAAATCCCAAATCACGGGCAGTCACTTCACCTCTCTGGGCCTTAGCTGCTTTGTCATGTAATTAAGGAGTTCACTCTAGGAGCCCTGTCAGCTCTAGAACTTTGCCATGACTTTGTGCTATCTCTTCAAATACTTTTCATAGGCTTTGCTGGCTTCATTCTCCATGGGGCTGGGCCTGTGGAGATGCCATTTGCTCTTAACAGCTGCCAACCTTGCACAGTCCTTTCTAAAGGCTTAAGACTACTTGGTGATGGTGAAGGCAACAATGTGGGTGATGATTGTTCTTCGTTTAAGTTCCACAGAATTTAAAGGGTCACATGAACTTGTGATAAACAGCTGCCTGTGACCACTCATGTCTCAACTAGCCTGACTTCTCCAGGCTCCCTTCCCTCACATAAAGGTGAACAGAGGAAGAGCTTAGTGCACATGGGTAGGATGCCTCACATGCACCTGAAACATACCTTCACTAGGTTTCCGTGGCACTGGTCCCTAGAGCATCTAGCGCTGTTTCTGCATCATCTACGTGATTCCTAGTTAGTGTTCTGCTGACACCAAATGATCAGAAATAGTTCCCTTCCTCCTGGGATCTGTGTGATGGAGAAAGATTAAGGGAGCAGTCTGAGATAACAGTCATCCTCTAGCAGCAAACTAATCCTCAACAAGTACATAATGGATGGTGTTGCGTATGTCTCTTACGTCCTTTTTATGATAAGGGGTGTCAGTGCAATAATGTGAGTAGGAATCATGCTTGTTTCCTGCTCAGAGAACTGAGAGCTCTCTGAATTGTAGAGGGAGAGATGCTTGACAAACTGCCCCTTTCCTGTCTTCAGAAAGAGACCTTGTGAGCTCAGATACCATTGTTTCTGAAATAAGCACAGGCTAAAACTACTTGGCTTTCAGAAAGCTTACTGAAGAAAGAAGTCAAAACTAATGTTTTTTGCCTTTTCCTCTGACTTATTAAATTATATAAGAAATCAAGATGTCACAAGGTAATGAATATGCAAGTTTATTTCAAGTTTTAGGGCTCTAGCATACTCATGGCCCCATAGAATCTAAACTTCATAGTCTTTGTAGTTTCCCTATCACAGTGATCTCTCTGCATGTTTGATAACCACCTCACTTCTCTGAACAAGTCAGCATGATGCGTCATCCTCCCCCCACTAAGAGAGCACACTCCTTTCATCTACTTGACTGTGTACATGAGTTTCTCCAAATGCCCAAATCAGATCTCACCCTCTGTGAAGCCTTTGTTGGTTGCTCCAACCCTCCAACCTCTTGTGACCTCATCTTCACTCTTCCAAGTTGGGCCTATGCCCCACTTAGCACTTGACACTTCCCTTGTCTCTTTTCAGGATTAATTGTTCCTAGAGCACATTACAAGTCACAGTTTACAGGCAGTATCTTATTTAACAGCAAACTGTGGAGTGAACAATGTAGGATGGTAAAGTCCAGTTTGCAAATGAGGCAGCCAGGGCTCAGGGAGCTGATTTCCCAGGGCCCGCAGCTCCTATATTGTTGAGTGGAGATCTAATCCAGGCTTGCAGACTCCAGATTGCATGCTTTCCAAGCTACAGCTTGAAGCCCCTTTAATAACACATGACTTTGCCATAACCTTGACATAGCATTGTAAAATAGATGAATAATTTTTACCACAATGACAGCATCTAATTTTAATAATCCTGCGAGGTAAAACTATGAAGGTTATCTTTATATGCCTTTGTCTACCCTTATATGTTCTATGTATGTGTATTAAAATTATGCATGTTAGACTATATATATATTCACTTAATATTGTATTTTTGTACAGACCTTTCCCATATGTTATTTCCTTTGTCTTCTTTGATTACTTTCACAGTTCTGTCCAAGAAATAAGAGAGCAACTAGTCTTGGAAATACAGAGTTGTGAACCCAAAAGGGGATGCATGTATCTTTGGTTCACCTACTAAACAGAAAGTGTCAGACTCATAAGAGGAGTCTGATAAATTTCTGTTGAATGAATGGTGTACCTGGTTAATGCCCACCTTGTTCAGGTGAGGAAGACCCGTCTTTTTCTGTCACTTTTAACACGACAAGACCTCTCCTCCCCTTCTTTCTCCCCTGCTCCATCACAGGGACTCTGCTGTGTCCAACAACAAGACGCCCCACAGTAGCTCTATCAGCCACATCGAGTCGGTCCTACAGCAGTTGGACGATGCCCAGGTGCAGATGGAGGAGCTGTTCCACGAGCGAAAGATCAAACTAGACATCTTCCTGCAGCTGCGCATCTTTGAGCAGTACACCATTGAGGTAGAGGAGGAGGGGCAGGGAAGGCAGGGGGCAGTGCCAAAAACAAAAGACAGTGTCCTAAGGGAGACCAAAGGAATTATGCATGATGGATTCAATTTTCAGAACTCAAGAAAGTGTCTACCATGATATACTTTTTTTTTTTTTTTTTTTGACAGGCAGAGTGGACAGTGAGAGAGAGAGACAGAGAGAAAGGTCTTCTTTTGCCGTTGGTTCACCCTCCAATAGCTGCCGCGGCCAGCGCACCGCGCTGATCCGATGGCAGGAGCCAGGTACTTCTCCTGGTCTCCCATGGGGTGCAGGGACCAAGCACTTGGGCCATCCTCCACTGCACTCCCTGGCCACAGCAGAGAGCTGGCCTGGAAGAGGGGCAACCAGGACAGAATCTGGCGCCCCGACCGGGACTAGAACTTGCTGTGCCGGCGCCGCAAGGCGGAGGATTAGCCTAGTGAGCCATGGCGCCAGCTCGTGATATACTCCTTCCAGTCCCTCTTATCTCCTCTGCTAAGCAGAGCCCTCTGTGTTACATCCTGTCTTTGGGCTACTCCATTGAGAAGGTTTTGTTGCTGCTCATTGGACTCTTACATTGTTCTTTGGTTTCTTGGAAGACTGTGGAGTTGGATGTTTGGTGATCTAGGTAGAGTCACTAAATTCCATGGCTTCGTGATTGCAATTAGGTAGCCTCCTCAACTGATGAATATGAATCAGAGATTAGAAGAAATCATTTACCAGCTAAGAATCCAGGAGCCACAGGCAGGAAGACTGTCCTTAGTTTGACCTTGACATGTTAGAGAGTCAGTCCTTACGAAAGCCTTTTGTTGATTCCTCTCATAGAGTCGTTAGTTCATGTCTGAGAAGGTCAGAATCATATGTTCTGATATGTTTATGTCCTCTGTCCCCATTTGTGATACCAAATAATAATGTCTGCCACACATCATGTCCACCTTTTATTATTTAATACTTTTAAACTGTAACTAAATCCAGGCCTTTAGAATTTCTGGAGTATAAACTTATCTAGCACATAAGTCACTCTTTTTGTAGGTGTGGCAAAAGGTCAAATGAAAGTCATTGTCTTCTTTTTGCTCCTGCCTAATATTATAGGAGAGAAAGCCAGTTGTTCCTTCTACTATTTCTTTTTAACTTTATTTTGCACTCTAAACACCTATTTTTAATGTATACTCAAAATTATTTAGTGTGGCAAGCAATCAGAAAAACATTTTGGAAGAACAATTAAGATACCAGTGGAAAATGAAATATTGTTATGTCATAAAAAGTATCTGATGAACTTCGTAAAGGTGAGGTGACAAAAAACGTTAAGAGAGAAAAGGTGAGAGTCATTATTCTCTAGTAATTGGGAGTGAAGTTCACTAAAATAAATAAGGGTTATTACATTTTATTAAAGAAATGTAGGCTCCAGGAACTCCTGCAATCCTTTCCCAGCTCCATTTCACCTACTGGGAATGAATATATTCTTGGAAAAAATTATGATGGCAGATGAGGTGATTTTGTTGTTGTATATTTATTCTCCTGTTATTTCAGACCCACATCAAAAAATGCTCAAGGGGAAAGAAATAAGCTGAAGATTTCTGTGTTTCAGTTTTATTTAATTAGGTGGATATGGTTTGGAGGGATCAAGATTGCTGGTTTAGACCCAGAATGGGTCAGTTAGCTTACTTTCAAAATCGACTGCACCCCTGACGTCAACTGGGGATATCACTGGCATGTATTTGTCTGCAGTGATTCTGAGCAAATCGAATCTCACTCCTGAAAACCAACCCAGAGCCTGTACAGAAAATATCCTTTAAAAATATGAGTGTAAATCAAATACTTTAAAACTGGATCCTATTTAAATGTTGCCATAGAAAAGCATGATATTTAAAGGTAGGATTTGCATTCTGCAGCCTTTCTATGTATAAAAATTCTTCTTCCCACCCTGAGAACTGGACAACAACTTGGACAATTTGGTATAAAGTGGAGCAAAAGTGGGGAATTACTCATACAGCAAGGAAGATAAAAATAGTGATTTGCTTGTATGTCCTCTGGTTTGGTTATGATGTCCAGGTATCAGAAGAGATCTTGTTCCTCATTTGGGGAGGCTTAAAGTTTGGGGAAAATGATGAATCTAATTTTAGATAGAAATGGAAATCGTGCCAAATCTATGGAAAAGCTCTGCTTCAAGTCATATTGTCAGAAGTTAATTTGAGGGTGATGAGATTATTTCATATACCAGCTATGGTTCACTGTGAGGATGAAGAGCAAACTTTTAGAGACGCTTCAGAGTGTGAGACTGAGGGTGGTTTCTGTCATGAGAGACATGTCAGAGCTGACATAAGCCAGGCAGGCCCTGTGCTTGCAGGACCAACAGCTGTGGTTCTTGTCTTAAAGGAAGGCATTTGATGGACATACTCCAAATTCCTAGGGATTACTGAAAACCAAAGCAGGCCTACCGCCTAGACAGTTGGGAGTCTAAGAATGACTTCTTAACCATGTCACCAATGGCTGAGGTGAGCCAACTAATTTAAAAATTAGGATAGCAGGAGTTGTTGCACAAGTCTTCTTTTACTCAATAAAAATGGTGTATATATGGCTCCCACATTATAACCTAAAATGAGATCATCCCCACATAAAGTGAAACTTATCCCAAATTTATTTGGCAGATGTTTAAATCCAGGACCATGGCTGCATTCTTGACATAGCTCTTGAACATTTGGATACTAGACACAGTGACCCAGAGGGGAACGTGGCATTCTAGAGAGTTTTCCCTTTTTTCTCGTAGGTTCAGCTTCTTTCTCTGACAGTCATTTTAGATGAACTGGTTGTGATAGAAGAGATACTTCACCAAATGCTAATAATGTCTATGTTGTGATGGTAAGAATGTGGGTGATTCTTTTTTCTTTTTTTTTTTTTTTAATATTTATTTATTTGTTTGAAAAACATAGTTACAGAGAGAGGGAGAGGGTGAGAGAGAGGTATCTTATCTTCTATCCACTGGTTCACTCCCTAAATAGTCACAATGACAGAAGCTGGGCTGATCAGAAGCCAGGAGCCTCTTCCAGGTCTTCCATGTGGTGCAGGGGCCCAAGCACTTGGACCAACATCCACGGCTTTCCAGAGCACATTAACAGGAAGCTAGACTGGAAGTGGAGTAGCCAGGAGTGGAACAAATGCCCATATGGGATGCTGGCACCACAGGCAGTGTGGCTTGACCTGCTATGCTACATCATTGGCCCCTTTTCCTTATTTTTGATACTTTCTTACATTTCCAAGTTTTCTATGGTAATAATGATTTAAAAGAAATAAAAAGTATTTTGGAAGCAAATACAGACTCCTTTTTGACTATGTAGCCTTTCAACAAAATAATTTTGAACTTGAAGCCATACACACACACACATCTATTTGTTCATAGATTATTAAAATGTTCACTAGCTAATAATCTCAAAACTCAATATGCCCTTCAAACCAAATTTAGCTTTTTTATTATAAGCTGTGGTTCTGTGTTTTACATAGTTTTCAGATAATTTTCATTTTTTTTTCTTTTTTTGACCTGGCTTCTTGACAGAAGTGATTAGATTGTCATTGTTTTCTTACCCCACAGTGTGGCTGACAGAATTCAAAATTTGCTTTTGCTTTTGTTACTAGTATAATCTTCAAGCTGAAATTCCTTTGTAAAAAACTTACTAAGCCACGTGTCTTTTTGTTTAAAAGATCAGTTTAAACTTCATAATAGATAAATCCATTTAACAAGTCACATGAAAAGAGCAGTAATTAACAATATGCTGACAGTGATGAAGAAACAATCCACAGTCAACCCCTCTGAATTTTGGCACTCCTTCCTTCCCTAAGGAGCCCTCTGCAACCACACACTGCACAAAACCATCTGCCATATGGCCAGAGTGAGACTCCAACATGAATCTACTAACAAAAGTTTAGGGAAACTTCATATGGCTTTTATCTGATTAAATGATTTATGAGGGTATTTCAAAAAGTTTGTAGAATTAAAAGATAAGTTTAGGGGCAGGCATTTGGCCTACCAGTTAAGTTACCAGTTAGGATGTCCCCAGCATTGGAGTGCCTGAGTTCCATATCTACTCTGGCTCTTGATTCCAACTTCCTGCCAATATGCACCCTGGGAGGCAGCAGCTGCCACCTGTCTGGGAGACCTGAACTGAGTTTCTGACCCCCAGCTTCAACTTCCAGTTTTGCTGTCATGGATATTGTGGGCATTCGCAGAGTGACCTAGAAAATTGGAGCAAATTTCTCTCTCTCTCTCTCTCTCTCTCTCTCTCTCTTTGTGTGTGTGTGTGTGTGTGTGTGTGCCTTTCAAGAGATAAGTTTATTTTTATGTAAATATTTTTGAAATTCATGCATAGTTTTTTCTAACACACATTTTCCATGAGCTTCTTAAGACCCCTTAAATGCCTGTTTATACAGGGAAGAAACTTTTCTGTCTTTTCAATAAATGATCTTGGGTACCTCTTGAGGTGGGCATACTCCTGTTGGAGAGTCCTAGAAATGATGCTGAGAAAGGTACTACATAGACTTTATGAAAAAATATGGGCCACATTTATGGTTTTGCCTTTAAACTACTCTGTAATGGCAAACAAAGTTTGCTTGATGCACCTGAAAGTTTGTGAGTAATTAACCTGAGCAAGGAATGGAACAACCAACTCTAAATTATGGGATTCATATTATGACAAGTTGGGTCAGGTAAGGCAAGGAAGAAATGAAATTCAAGGAGGAAATTTCCGCCTGGAGAAGGGAGAGCTGACTGTAACTTACTGGTGGTCTCAACTCTTCAGCTGGTAGTGTGCAGAGTCCCTTAGCATTTTATATTAGACATTGTTTAGTCAGCCTTCTACTTGTTTAAAAACTGAATGGAGTAAACATTTATTGAGCACCTGCTATGTACCAAAAAACTTTGCTGGGCATTAAGGATACAACAGTCCAAGCATTAGCAGCCTAGTTGTAGAGAAACATCTTCAGAAAACCATCAGGCAATGTGATAATTCTATGACAGAGGCTCACGTTACATATATGTGTGTATGTATGTATGTATTTATTTGAAAGGCAGAGTGACAGGGGAGAGAGTACACAAGAGATCTTCTATCCACTGGTTCACTCCACAAATGGCCACAATGGCTGGA